TTTACATAACAGATAAAGAGAGAAAGAGCAGCAAAGAGGTGCTGAGAGCTGAAGTCTTAGGGAAATCAAAGCATCTAGGGGTAGGATGAGGTGGGGGAAGATAAAGCTTTGTTGGTTAGCTCACTTTGTTTTTTCTAGGATGTATGTGGGGGGCTTGTGTTTGTGATGGGGGATGAAGGTGTGGAAGGTGAGGGGAAGTAGTCCATCAAGCCTTGGACTTTGTAACCCCTCTACTTCCTTAGCCCCCCTTTGATGGAGAAGATGAGGAGGAGCTGTTTCAGGCCATCATGGAACAAACTGTTACCTACCCTAAGTCGCTGTCCCGGGAAGCTGTGGCCATCTGCAAGGGGGTGAGAACCCTGACTCCTGGGTTGTCTGGACTCACTGTCTGTGAGTCCCACCACTGCCAGGGCTTCCCACCCAGTGTCTCTGTGCATATTAGAAAGTGGCTCCCATTGCTCAAGTCACTTGACGGCTGTCTGCTGGATGAGTTTATGTCACAGCAATTTTGTTAGAATAATAATTTACTGCCCACTGACACCTCCAGTTCAAGAATGGCCTCTGTCTTAACCTCTTCTGCTGCCCCCAATCCCCAGCTCACTACAGGGAGGGCTGGAAGCCAGGGCCTGCCTCTTTAGAACCAGGTGGGTCAGACGAACCTCTCTCCACCACGTGTCCTCCTGTGGGATTTTGGGCAAGTCAGTGGAACTCCAGGAGCCTGGGTTTCCTCTTCTAGGGTTGCAGAGTCAATGCAGGAGGAAGCTGCATAGCTTATAGCAGCTTTGCCCCAGTCGTCAGCACACTTCTGCTCCTGGCTCCTCTCTCCATGTCTCTCTGATGGTCTCTCTCTTGGTTTCTGTCTCACCCCTGTGCCTTTATCTACCTGTGATGGGGCTTTCTGTGTCTGTCCCTTTTCTGTGTCCTCTGGAATCTGTCTACCTCTTGCATCTCTGTTTCCTTCTTCCCCCGACTTACACACACACACACACACACACACACACACACACACACACTGGCTGTCTGTCCTTCTTTGTCTGGATTTCTTTCCTCCAACTTTTCTGACATCCTTCTCTCTGAGGGTCTGTCTCTGGAGACTCTGTCCTCTGTTCTGTTGCCTTCATTGTCTATGTTCTCTGGGTCCCTACCGCTACTTCTGGCTCTCCTCTCTCTCAATCTCTTATTTCCCATTTTTTGGGGGTCTTCAAACTCTTTTCTTCTCCCCCCATGCTGTCCCCCTCTCTTCTCATTCTCCCACTCTGAGATTCTTCCCTTGTCCTCTTCTTCTCTTTCTGGGTCTGTCTCCTTCTTTCTCTGAGTCTCTGCCTTTGTATCTGGTTTTTGTTATTCTCTCTGGGGGTTTGTCTCCTGGGTCCCCATCCCCCTTTACTCTGGGTCTCCAACCTCTCTCCCTCTCTCCTTGTACTCCATCCATCCCCTTCCCTGATTCTTTCCTGTCTCCTTCCTCTCTTTCTGGGCTTCTCTGGCCCTTCTCTGTCTTTCTCTGTCTTTCTCTGGGTCTGTGGGCTTGGATTTCATCTACCCCATTCTCACTCCTCTTTCTTCCTCTTTCTCTCTCCCCACCCTTCTGTCCCTGGATCCCTATGCTTGTGTCTCTCTGTTTCTTCGTCCTTGTCTCCCCCTCTCTCTTTCTTGTTCTCTTGGCCTTCCTGTTTGGGACTTGTCTGTCTGTCTGTCTGTCTGTGTCTTTCTGTGTTCTCCACAGTTCCTAACCAAGCACCCTGCGAAGCGCCTGGGCTCAGGGCCTGATGGGGAACCCACCATCCGCGCTCATGGCTTTTTCCGCTGGATCGACTGGGAACGGCTGGAGCGGTTGGAGATCCCACCTCCGTTCAGACCACGCCCGGTAGGTCACCTACCAGAACAAAACCTTGTTCCCTGGAGGTGGGGCACTCAGGAGCTCCAGTACCCAAATGAAGAGGTGGGGCAGGGTTCCCTCTGAGGAGACCACTGAAGTGGGGGACACACAAGGATATGCAAGGATTCCACAGGAGATTGGAGATGTTTGGAGATGTTTACCCAAGGAGAGAGTAGAACATGTTTTCCTCCGGTGTTTTCCAGTGTGGCCGCAGTGGTGAGAACTTTGACAAGTTCTTCACGAGGGCGGCGCCCGCGCTGACCCCCCCAGACCGCCTCGTTCTGGCCAGCATCGACCAGGCCGATTTCCAAGGCTTCACCTACGTGAACCCGGATTTCGTGCACCCGGATGCTCGCAGCCCCATCAGCCCAGCGCCTGTGCCAGTCATGTAATCCCATCTTCCACCACTAGATGTCCCCACAGCTCCCTCCACCGCACCAGCCTGGGCTGTACTTCACCATCTCCTTTCCAATTCTAGATCCTGCTCCCCAGCATTCTGGCCTCTGCCCCCTGGGTGCTAGGTGCCCTTCTCAAGTGTTCCTGGCATTCTCAACTCCATACAGTTTCTAGAGCATCCCCGTGCTCTAGATTCTGCCGTGTTGAGTCCTAGTTTCTCACCCACCTCCGTGTTCTGGACTCTGTTTCACCAGGTTCCAGAACCACCACTACCATCCCTACTCCATGGGGTTGTACACTCCATCTTGGTAGACTCTCCTCCTCCTCTTCCTCCTTTCTTCCCTTTCTCTTCCTTCTCCTCTCCTCCCCCTCCCTCCCCTCCTCCCCTCTAACTCCTCCCCTCCTCCTCCCTCCTCCTCCCTCCTCCTCCCTCCTCCTCCCTCCTCCTCCTTCTCCTCCTTCTCCTCCCTCCTTTTCCTCCCCCCTCTCCTCCTCCTTCTTCTTCCCCTCCAACCCTTTCCCCTCCTTCTCATTCTTCTTTTCTTCCATTCTGGGAAATAGTCTCATGGGGTGGGCTGTTTCAGACTTGGGTTCCCAGACAAACCCCCACCTCCAAGGCCTTGCCCACCCCCACTTCATTCTGGAGTAAGTGGGGGGCTGTGCCCCGATGCTGGAGTAAGTGGGAGGCTGTGCCCCGATGCTCCAGTGCCCTCTTCCACACTCTGGGAATGCCTGGGGTGTGCGGAGGATCCTTTCCCCCACTGTTCTCAACCAGCTTTCATTCTAGACTCCCCCCTCCTACACCCAGCCCAACCGCCTGCCAGGTGCATGGCTCCAGTTCTGCTCGGAACCCCGCCTCCACCCCGTGCCTGCCACTCTCCACTCTCGGGGACTCCCCACCCCCAACTCCTCTTCTCTTTGCCTCTCCCATCCAGCCACAGCTGCTGGAGAATAAATTTGGGATGCTGACGCTGAGGTGTTTGGATGTTTTCTTCTAAGCTTGGAGAGTGAAGGGTGTGCGGAGGTGGGACAAGGACTGCACATAGAAACAAACACAGAGAGAGAGGGAATGGGAGGGGGATGGCAGAGAGAGAGGGAATGCTCTGAGCGCCATAGAGGGAGAGAAGATACCTACAGGATGAGAGCGAAGAACAGAGACTCGAAGACAGACCCACAGAGAGGATCGAAGGGCACACGTGCCCGGGGAGGTGGAAATCCATTGCAAGCACCAGGGGGAGACCCTGGGTGTAGAGACGCAAGCAAGCACATCCTCACCAAGACATTCTCACAAGCTCACAGACACACACTGCACCCAGACACGAGGAAGTCCCGGGCGGGGAGATGAAAGGCGAGCCTCCCACTGAGACATCTGCAGATTCCATCGGAGGGACTGACACAGAAACCTAAACGATAAACGACCAGAACTTGCGAGCTTAAGGATCAGCGACTGAGGCGGCAGGCAGACAGACGCGCCCCCCAGGCCTCCTTCCCCTGACCCAATTGCCAGTGGGGGGAGTCAAGAGGGTAGTACGTATGGACTACACATCCCAGCAGACACCGCGGCGGCAGACCCTTCCCCCAAGTGCAGCCCCTCGCCGCTAGTACTGATGGGAAATGTAGTCCCTGGACGGGGCAGACTGGTCGAATGGTGTGCCTCTGTCTGTGTGTTTGGAAGGACTGAGCCCCAAAGCTTCACAGGTTCCCTCGGGGAGCCCCAGCGTCTCTTCGTTCCTCTTGGGTTTATGGGGATCTGTCTCCGGAATGGATGCTGGGGCTTCCTTTGTGTCCCCCAGCACCGCTGTGTACCCCCACCCAAGGCCCGCGCCTCCCAGGCACCCTCCCACCCTCGCTCCGACCCTCGGCAGGCGGCCTGCCCCTTTAAGAGTGGCCCCGCTGACATCACGGCGGGGGGGGGCGGGTGCTGGCCCCGCTCCCGGCTCCGCGGCGGCTGCAGGACCCGGCTTCTCTCTGCGCCCGCCTGCTGCTCTGGGGACCCAGGCTTGGGACGCCCCCTTTCGCTTCCTCCAGCCGTCCAGACCCCAGGCTCCGCCCCAGGCCCGACCAGAGCCCCAGTCCTCATCAGGGGACCCCAAGGATTGCCCCTGTTGTCTCTCCTCTCAGGGTCTCTCTCTGTCTGTCTCTGTCCCTCCTTCTGTCTTTCTGTCTCTCTGCCTGGCTCAAGGTGTCTGGGTCTCAGCGTCTCTCAGCCCAAGGCCTCTGAGCGCCCCGTGCCTCTTTCTGCCTCTGCTGCCTGACCTCTTCACTTCTAGCGCCCCAGAGTCTCCGAGCCTGGGGAGCAGGGGCCTGGGACCCACTCTCTGCCCCACCTCTCTCTCTCTCTCTCTCTCTCTCTCTCTCTCTCTCTCTCTCTCACTCTCAGGCCACCTCTGTGTTTCCTCGTCTCCAGACCTGCGAGTCTCAGGATTGCTCAGCCTCGAGGTCTGGGTGCGTCTAGTCCTCTCTCCGCTGTTTCCCAGCCCTCCGGGCGCCCCTGCTCCTGTCGGCGCTCCGCTCGGTTCCTACCCTCTCCCTCCCTGCCACCCCCCATTCTCCAGGCCCGTCACCCTCCCTCCCGCATCCTTGCTCCCCCCTCTGCGCCCCTCCCCTCCTCCGCGGCAACCAATGAGCGGCCGCCGGTCCCAGCTCCCGGCGTCGTCCGCCGAGTGAGGCCGCGGGCGCGGGGGGTGGGGGGTGGGAGACCAGGGGGCCGGGACGCCGGGCTCCGGGGCGGGGGCGGGGGGCGCGGGCATCGGCGACCCCGGTGGCGGCGGCGGCGGTGGCCGGGGGAAGCCGCGGGGCCGGTCATGCGGCTGCGGGGCCCGCGGCCCGGAGCGTCCCCCCAGCCCTGAGCGAGGTGAGCGTGAGGGGAGGGTCCTGGAAGGAGGTGTGGGGGGCGGGGGTTCCCCTTGAGGTGGCTGGGGGGCAGGGGCTGGGGCTAAAAGAGGCCTGTGTGGCCCCGGGGGGTGGCATTCCAGCGGCCCGGACGCCCGACTTCGGGAGGCTATGGGGCATGCAGGGACGTTGGGGCCTAGGGAGGACGGGGTCCGAGGGTCCGGAGCGGGGCAACTATACTCGTCGGGTCTGAGCCGCGGAGACCGTGCGCTCTGGGGAGGGTGCAAACCAGGTCCTCGAGGGAGGCGGTCCTGGCGCAGCGGGAGGATCTCGTCCGCTTAGAGCAGGATGTGAGTCTGAGAAGGGGTTCCCGGAAAGCGGGGGTCTGTCCCCCGTGAGGTCGAAGGGAGATGGAGTTTGGACTTGGGTTTGCAGGAGGGGACCCTGGGGATCCGCATGCTCCAATCCAGGAGACTCTGGGGAAAAGGATGAGAAGGAGGCTCCAGGCCTGGGCAGAGAGGGTCCCAAAGGAGAGAGGTTGGAAGCTGGCGGAGAGTGTAGAGGGCTGGGCGGGCCACGGAGAGTGAGGAGGAATCGGAGCCGTGAAGGAGGGGGTTTCCAACGAGAAAGCGAGCTGAGTGACTGTGAGCCGGGTCCCCGCTGGAGTCGGAGGCGCCAATGGCGGGAGCTGAGGTCAGCTACCTGAGCTAAGGCAATCAGGGTAACTGGGTTTCTGAGGCTTGTTTCCGAGCTGAGCAGGCTAGAGGAGGAGCGGGCAGCTGGCGGTCGAGCCCTGGAGCCACGGGACGGGGGATGGGAAGAAAAGCTGGTCGGAGCTCTGCCACACTCGGGTCCCCGAGTCCTCCAGGAGGCTGGGGGCGGGGAGGAGGGGCACTGGCTGGGGAAATGAGAGTAGTGGCGAAAGTTGTCTGACTCCTTATTGGGGTGGGAACAGAGTTTCAAGGCTACCAGCATTCTGTTTTTTAAAAAGTGGTGTCTCAAATCTTGGCTGCATTTGTTGGGAAGTGTTTAGGGATCTTAACCTTCATAGTTAAAAAGATGATGGGGACTCTGATATTCAGAGGTGTAGAGGTCTCTGGTTGAGATTGGTTGGGGATCCCATATTGAGTCTCCCAAATCATGGGGTTGTTTAGGGAAAAGCTCATGGTGGGGGTGAGGGTGCTGGATAAGGGATGAGGAGCATCCTAGTTGGAATCTCCAGATTCCTGATTGGAGCGGGGAGGGGGCAGCTATGAAGAGGAGATCTCTTGTTTAAGCATCCAGTGTTTTGGTGATCAGAGCCCTAGCATGAGAAGTGGGGCCCAGAACCTCTGGTAGGGAATTTTGGGGTCAAACAATGGAAGACTAGGGAGATGGGATCCTGGTCTTCCTGATGGGGGTTTAAGAGTTCAGAGGACTGATCCCTAGCGTGAAGGAAGGTCACTTGTTTGACTGGAGAGCTCTGGTTAGAGTGCTGACTTGGGGGTGGAGGGCGGGTTCCCAGATCATTGTTTTGATATTCGGGAGTCTTTATTCAAAATCCTGGCTCCAGGTTTCTGGGCCCAGTGTTTAGGGATCCAGCATCCCAGGTTCAGGGGCCTGCTTGGGCTTGATGTTGGAGGGCATTAAGGTTCTGGAATCTCAGATTAGGGTACCAAATGGAAGTCAAGACACAGGATCAGAGTCAGAAGGTCATGGGTCATGTTCTTGGTGTTAGAATTGGGTGTTATGGATCAAGATATGAGTCTAAGAGATTACACTTAAGTGGGGGCCTCTGCTCAAGGTCTGAGGGAAGCCTGAGGTCAGGAGACTGAGGCTAGGGTATGGAATTAGGGCCCTTCGTTGGTGACCCACTTGGGGGACTTGTGCTTTCCATTCAGGGACAGAGTCCAAAGAGAAAGGATCAGCAGACAGACTCAGGATTGGGTGGCCTGGGTTAGGGCTTCTACACAGGTTACATTGCTCACCATCCAGTGTTGATGTTTCAACACTCAGGGTTCAGAGACCTAGGTCATGGCTGAGTGATGAGGTCACAGGCCCTTGCTGGAGTCTTGTATTCAAAGTTTGTGGCTTGCATCAAGGCACAAAGTCAAGGTTGGGGCTGTGTTCCCGGCCCTGGTTTTGGAGCACCTGATCACCATAATAGCTTCTGAGTCATGGGCCCAGGCTCCTGGTTAGGGATTCTGGTGGGGTCTAATGTCTGTGGTCAAGGTCTCGGGTCAGGGCATGCGGTTCAGGCTGGAGGGCTTGGCTCTGGGGTTGAGAATCTAGAAACTGAATTTCTAGTTGAAGTTGTGACATTGGGCACGCAGGTCCAGACACACAGTTGGAGCTGAGGTTCAGTCCCTGGATGTGGGCTGAAGATTATGGTTGGAAATCTTATCCTGGGATTTGGGGGGGGGTGGTGTCGGGTGTGGGGTCTCTGATCAGGATCCAGAGCCAGAGCACAAGTGTCAGGTTTGGGAAGGCCAGTTCTAGGGTTGAAGGTCAACAATTGGTGTCACTGGTTCAAATCCAGGGAGGGAATCATGGGTCAGGACACAGACGTCAGATTTGAGAGGTTTGGGGATTGGTGTCTTAGTCCGAGTCCAGTGTCCCAGCTGAATGCATGGGGGTGAGGACTCTAGTTGGTCCTATCAGGTCTCCCCAAGGCAGCTTCCGGTCCCTCAGGCCCCGCAGGGCGCCCCCCGCCACTGAGGATGAGTCACTGCAGCAGCCGCGCCCTGACCCTGCTGAGCAGCGTGTTTGGTGCGTGTGGCCTTCTGCTTGTGGGCATCGCAGTCAGCACTGACTACTGGCTATACATGGAGGAGGGGACGGTGCTGCCACAGAACCAGACCACGGAGGTCAAGATGGCGCTGCACGCCGGCCTCTGGCGCGTGTGTTTCTTCGCAGGTACAGACCGCAGCCACCCTCCACTCAACTGTCCCTGCCTTGCCTGGGTGGGATCCGAAAGTCCTGATCCTTAGTTCGGTCTCTTGGGCTCCAGAAATCCAGAAACTGATCCTGTTTCTGTCCTGAAGTGTCAAATTCCTACATGGAGACCCAATTTCTAGCCCTCTATTGCCTGGGTCTAGGAGTGCTAGAGCTCACACAGTCTTGTGGTCCCTAACCCCCTAGGAACCTCAGAGTCCCCCTCCCCCTCAGAAATGGCAATCTAGGTTCAGAACTTGTTCCCTGGACAGCTGCATTGCTGAATGGACAGGGTAGAAAAATCTGTGTTTCCCAGAGATCACAGAGACCCCTCCTTCAAGGACCCTGTCAATCACTACCTTATTTTCTTTAGGGACCTAGAAGACCTGGTCCACAGCCCCTCCTCATTTGGGACCCAGGGTTCCAGCCCTGCCCTCCATCCATGGGTCTGGTCTCTAGGAAAGCTGGCACCAGGAACTCCCAGACCTCCTGCTCATCCCCTTCTGTAACCCTTGGACTAAGCCATTGCCATCCTGGGGTCTCCCCACTGTGCATCGTGCCCCTGACTGCCTCTCCAGAGCTTAGGATCATCTCACCCAGCGCTACTTTCTTACCGTCCCCCCAGGTCGGGAGAAGGGTCGCTGCGTGGCCTCGGAATATTTTCTTGAACCGGAGATCAACTTGGTGACGGAGAACACGGAGAATATTCTGAGTGAGGGGAAGCAGGGGGCCTAGGCAACAAGGGGGCAGGATCACAGGGCAGGTCCTGGGAGAAAGGGCAGGACCAGGAAAGGGGTAGGGCGAAATGGCAAGAGTGGAGACTGGAGAGAAGGCAAGGTGGTTGGGTAAGGGGGAGGAGTCGAGTTGAAGGGGCGGGGCCTAGTCAGTTGGTGGAGCCAACAGGAAAGGGGTTGGGTCAGGCCAAAGAGGTGTAGTCTGAGTAAAGGGGTGGAGTCTGCAGTGGAAATACCAGACTTGGGAAGAATCTGCAGAGAGGGGAGAAACCACCCAAAGTAAAGGGACAGGGAGATGGTGGAAATGGAGAGGTCCGGGGAATGGGGAGGTGTCCCTGCGGATTGTCCCCCTCACCCCTTCTCTCCCCCTCCCCCAGAGACAGTGCGCACAGCCACCCCCTTCCCCATGGTCAGTCTCTTCCTCGTGTTCACCGCCTTCGTCATCAGCAATATCGGCCACATCCGCCCGCAGAGGACCATTCTGGCTTTCGTTTCTGGCATCTTCTTCATCCTATCGGGTGAGCCCAAGGAAAGGACTTACGGGCTGGGGGGCTCTTTTAGGTAGCAAGAGCCCGAAGTCCCTCTTCCTTGCTGTGCAGTCCTGAAGGAGCTGCAGAACCTCTCTGAGCCCCACTTTTCTCCTGGGTGAGAGGGAAAGGGAAGCGCCTATTTCACATGGGACCGAATCATAGTGAATGCTCATTAGGTGCTAGTTAGGTGCCAGGTTCTGTGGTGATCCCCACAACCCTGGGAGGTGATAACAGGTTATAAGTTTCCTTGTTTCCTGTGGAGTATTTTGTCTGAAAATTTTTCAAAAAGAAAAGGTGAAAAATTTTGGAGTGAACACCTGTGGACCTACCACTTAGAGCAGCCATCGCCATATAACTAGACTTGCTTTGTCCTGTATCTGTTCATGTAGCTATATTTCTACCTATCTTATTGTTATTTATCTCACGATTTTTTATGCATTTCAAAGTGAGTTGAGGCATCATTACACTTTACCCTAAATACTTCACTATGCATGCCATTAGCTAGAGTTCAGTATGTGTTTATAGCTTTTTTTAAAAATTTTCTTTATTGATTTGAGAGAGAGAGAGACATTGATTTGTTGTTCCACTTATATATACATTCATCAGTTAATTCTTGTATGTGCTGTGACTGGGGATGAAACCCACACAGCCTTGGTGTGTATGAGGACAACTCTCCAATCAACTGAGCCACCCAACCTGTGCCATAGTTATTTTTATTTTTATTTTTTTAGCTATGAGTGATCTCAAATCCTTTTTCATAACATCTCTGCCTGGGGGTTATTATTAGCACTCACTGAATAAAATGGGGGTACTGAGGCCCAGAATTGTGCACAGATTTGCCTAAGACACAAGCATAAGCTGGTGCCCCGGGGACTCAAGTGTCCTGAGTTCTAGAGTAGAATCCTTTTTGGTGTTCCCCTCATCCAAACTGCAGCTCTATTTGGTCTACTTCAGTCCCAGTCAAGTAAAGTCAGCCTAGATCAACTCAGCTCTGACACATTTAACTCCATCCATCTACTCTAACTGACCCCAATCTATTCTGACTCAATTCTTCAGTTCAATTCAAATTAATTCAACATAACTTAATTTAACTCCATCTGGGTCCTTTTAATCCAGTTGATATTTTATGAACAAACCCTGTTGTACATCTCATTTCTATTCTTTCCCCTGGGTATTGATTGCTTCTCAGCCTTTTGGCTAAGATCAAGGATAGAGATCTGTTTTTACCAGTTTAATATTCTGTCCCCTGGGACCTCCACTTAGCTCCCCCTTTAGAGGTGGCTCTGCAAATAATTAAAGGTGAATTTTTGAATATCGCTTCCCGCGGTCCCTTTCCTGCTCCTCGCCCAGCTTCCTCTAGGCTAAACCTCCATTGTGCCTCTAACTGAGACTGACAAGACTTTATCCAGGGAAACCAGGATGCAACCTCTGTGTGAACTTGAACCACCGCGTGTACAGCCAGACACTGAGCTAAAATAAGACATGTAGGATCTCACCATCCCGGAGTGTCAGAGCAAAAGGTCTCATCCTTTTTTTCAGATGACAAAAAACATAGTGGCCTAGAGAGAGAGAAAGTGGGGCATGGAGACTTTATTTAATCCACCCAAAACATTTGAAAGAAAATCCCATTGATTGCGGCTCACAGCAGTGGAAACAGGAGAGGTGACCTAGCTAGTCAATGGCAGGGCTGGGGTTAGAAGTGAGGGCTTTCTCATCACAAAAACCATGCTCGTGCCAGTGCACCAGGACCTTGAGGATCAGTGGTGCTGTCGGGGCTGGAAGTCAGGCCTTTGATGTAACAATCTGAAGGGGACTGAACCCCTTCCTCAAGTTTATATCATGGACTATGGCCTGTTTACCCACCCCAAGGTATCCATCATGTACTTGTTTTAAAAAATATTTTATTTGTTTTTATTTTTATTTTTAGACAGAGGGGAAGGGAGGGAGAAAGAGAGGGAGAGAAACATCAATGTGTGGTTGCCTGTAGCATGCCCCATGCTGGAGACCTGACCTGTAACCCATGCATGTGCCCTGACTGGGAATCGAACTGATGACCCTTTGGTTTGCAGGCTGGTGCTCAAGCCACTGAGCCACACCAGCCAGGACCATCATGTACTTTTTTAAAAAAAGATTTTATTTATTTCTAGAGAAAGAGGAAGGGAGGTAGAAAGAAAGGGAGAGGAACATTCACATGCCCTCAATCGGGGACCGGGCCCACAACCCAGGCATGTGTCCTGACTGGGAATTGAACAGGTGACCTTTTGGTTCACAGGGTGACACCCAACCCACTGAGCCACACCAGTCAGGGCTCCATCATGTACTTTCAAGGTTGTGGGTGTGGTGCCTGAAGGCATATGTTGCTGTGAACCTGGAAAGAATGGGGTTCAAATCCCAACAGTTACTGTATGTGTTACAGCTTCCCTTGGTGGAGTTGCTGAGAAAACAGATCTTGGGCAGAAGTTGGCAAACTTTACATAGCAAATATTTCAGGTTTTGTGAGCTGTTGGGTTGTAGTGCCCAAGCAACCAGAGGTAGAGCAGAGGGCATGGCTGCTGTGTTCCAATAATACTATTTATGGACCCTAAAATGCAAATTCAATGCAATTTTCATGGGTTATGAAATATTTTTTGTTTTTGTTTTTTCATACCATTAACAAATGTAAACACCACACTTAGCTCACAGACCATACAAAATCACGTGGTGGGACAAATTATAGTTAGCTGACCCCTGGTCTAGGTCATGGTTGTGAAGGGCCAACCCAGTGGCTGGTCTGTGACAATAACTGCTCAACACATGGTAGTTTTAGTAACAACCACCACCGTAACAATAAATGCTTTATCCAGGGCCATGGTTTGGGAAAATTCTTGGGAAAATTCTATGTGCTTTTTCTTCACCTTGCAAGGCAGACAGCGTTATTATTCTCATTTTCCAGTTGAGGAAACAGAAACAGTCAAAGTTAAGCTGCTCCATTATGGAAGGTGGATTGCAACCCAGGCTTTTCACTGCGGCACTATACTGTCCCATAAAAATCATAAAAATGAAGGTGATTTAAAAGGGAGTGGAAAGGATGGAAATAGTACCAATATCTTAGATCTTGGAGCAAAATGATCTGGTACAACCACCTCATGTTCCCTATGAGAACAGAGAGGGAGAGAGAGAGGAGTTGCCTGAGGTCTGACAAGTGGTAGAGTTGACATTCAGTCCTGGGAAAAGCAATGGAAGTGCTGGGACAGGAGAGGGATAGGGTCACACTGGGCATTAAACATCCCTCAGGGAGCTGTGTTGGGGATGGACTAGAGGAAGATGAGCAAACCAAGGAGGAGGCTTATGCAGTGGTCTGAGCAATAAGGTTTGAGCTGAGCCAGGGCCAGGAGGATAAAGGCAATTGCATGACTTTGAAAGGGAAGAATATTGACAGAAAAATCAATATAGAATCAGTTGGCTGACTGGGTCTGGTGAGAGATGGGATGAGGAGGCTGGTGTAGCATTGATTTTCCTTTTCCAGGTCATAAAAGGCATGCTTTCTGGGCATGGCCCCTATTAACCCCTGATCCTCAAAAACATGTTCTAGGCATGTGCCCATTTATTCACTTGTCAAACATTTACAGAGACATCCTACATACCAGGCTCTGTGTTGGGCCCTGGAGACAACACGGCTGAATCCTAAGTGAGAGTCCACATGCAGTTACTCCCCAAACAGCCCCCAACTGCACATTCATCAAAGCTTAAATGTCACACATCACTTGAAGTCTTGAGTGCTTTGATGAATTCCCATTACACTTAGAGTACGTCCAAACTCCTTCTGCTGGCCCTTCATGGTTCGGCTACTGCTCAGATCTGTGACCTCATTTCCTAACCCACTGACACTCTCCTTTGCTTATAACTTCAGACACACTCGCCTCCTGCTACTCCTCAAAAATGCAAATCTCAGCCCAGTTGAGGATTTTTACAATCACTATGCTTCTGTACTTGTAAGTCTCTTCTCCCTGGTTCTCACAGGGCAGGGATATTCCCTCTTCAGAGTTTCTTCTTTCTGACAACAATATGTAATGCCTTGCTCCCTCTGCTATCCTATTCCTTGTTTGATTATTGTTTCTTAGCACGACTGCTGTTGTCAGTCATCTTGTTTTCAGTCCCCTCCCACTGGAATGTAATTTCCGAGCTTCAGAGAGCTCTACAAACATCTGCCAATCCTATATTGAGTTGCTAGTACAAAGTACATACTGAAATATTTGTAGACCGGGTGAGGGATAAGGATAGCTCAGGGCATGCTGGGAAAGGGGAGATGTATTCACCTAACACAGAAGAGTGGTGGGGAGGGTGGGAGTGACCGGGATTCCAACGGGAGGTGACATCCAAGCTGATGATACTGAAAGAGGGAGGGGTATTTTTTCTTGTGAAGAAAGAGAAGGCAGTGATTTGCAAGGATATTGAATTAACAGCGTGTGGTAAGACCCCAAAAGCAGTTAAGACTCAGGTCGACGCGGGTGCCGCTCTCCATGGTCCTGAAACGGTATTGTTCTAAAGCCGAGGTGTGTCTCTATTCCTCTTGGAATGTAGGCGATTCTTGCCTACTGAGCTCTAAGAATTCTGGAAGAGATACAGTGGAGAGGGTAGGGAGAGGGTTGGGTTACAGAAAAAAAGGGAAGGAGAAAAATAAGAAGGGAGAAAAGGTTATTTTTAGAGAACAAGAGCCATTGTGAAATGGCCAGGAAGGAGAATGACAAAAATAATTTACCTTCTGACATTATTTTTATTTAATTTTCAATGACCAAAAGCAAAACCACAATCAAAACGTGTGTATTTGTAAATGTTTGTGGGGTTTTTTTCTCATCAGTTCCTGCTCCTCTCTCTCCTGATGGAGAATGTTTTTTATTTAGAACTGTTATATGAATCATGGTACTTAAAGTGAGGCAGGTGTAGTTAGCAGGGATCGGATCATAAAGAGCCTTGAATCTCAGACAGTAAAATTAATACCTTTTCCTGTG